GACGAATACAGCTGCGAGTGATTCTTTCCTAAATGTTGAGTTGTGCCCAAAATGTGCAGGGACGCAAGACTACCTACATACCGATTTCGAGCTTTGGGCTCTCATCAGTGCAGGGGTGTCTCCAGATGACTCCTTGATCGTCATCTGGTACGACTCTGACCCAACCTAACAATACAGAATAAGCGATGATGAGGTCCTCTTAAGTAAAATTATCTGGAAGTAAAATACCTCTCCATTCGGATTTCCGGGCGAGAGGTGCTAGAGGGGGTTCACCATCGACTGAAAAAGTCTTCAAGATAGACCTATGTAACATCCGAGGTCAAAGTAAGAACAACGATGTCCATCGACACCTTCAAATTGAAATGCCAGACATATTGGCACTAACTGAGACACAGGTCAATTCATCCACCAATACGACCTATCTGCTCTGTCCTGGGTACGAACTCCACACACGTTTCAGATTCAAGGAAAGGTCTCTGCCTCTACTCTAAAACGAATCTCTTATGTCAACGAGAAAAAACTTTGGAACCAAATAAGTTCTTATGTCATGTGGTTCAAACTCGATAGCCAGAAACAGACCAAATACCTTTGTTGTCTCTACTTATCACCAAATGATCCATCCTATGAAGAACTCTTCGAATTCTTGTCTCTGAAGCTTGACCAAATTGAACAGAACCATCCAGCAGCAGAAATCATCATCATGGGCGATTTCAATGTACACAACACTGCTTGGCTCGTGCACTCTAACAGAACGGATGAAGCTGGGCGACAAGCCGAAGCTTTCGCCATGACTCACGGCTTAGAGCAGCTGATCAAAGAACCCACACGAATTCCCGATGCCAATAACCATTCAGCTAACATACTTGATTTATTCCTCACTAAAAATTCAGCACCCTACACCATAGATGTACGAGCTCCACTTGGCAATTCTGACCACACACTCATCTCCACAACCTGCCCATTTTTCGTTCCATCATTTGCTCCTGCACCCCCACGTCTTATATAACATTACAATGCATGTTTTTCTCCGAGTTTCCTTGGCATAGAGTATATGCTTTGACTCTGAGGACTCTTCACAGTGTGCTGCTCAAATATCCGAGATCATCATGCTCGGAATGGACAAATACATACCTCATTCTTCGAAAAGATCATCACCATCGAAACCATGGTTCAACAAAAACTGATCTAGAACTTTTGCCTTGAAACAAACAGCCTACCATCGCTGGCGCAAAAACCCTAATCTCGCGACTAGAGCAGAATACGTTGATGCCAAGAATAACTGCAATCTACAATCTAGAGCGCGAAGCCGAGTTGAAAAAATAGTCGAGATGACCAAAGTATTTCGCGCTCGAGTTGCAAACAAAATTTTTTCTACAAACGTCAAAAAATATAGTTTTAAAGTAAAAATATATGATCAGCTTGAAATAAAAAATAGTGTTGAACTGGCTCAAAAAGCCTTCCCCTATCCTTCCTAGGTTCCACGAATATAATAGGAATTTCCTTCCATGCGCTCCAAGAGATAAAACAAAGTTATTGTTGAACATTCAGAAATAAATTATTCCGTGGATGTTTGCTCGATTGAGGACTATAAAGTTGAAGTATAAATATCTCATATATTTTACATAACAATGCGTGAAGCGTAGGTACTTCGCGCACTGTTTTACTTCGCACATTGTTTGGTGCAAGGTATCATGGTAACGTAGGAAGCTAAAAAAAAGAGTCACTTCGCAATTTGTTTGGTAGAAAAAAATCTAAAGTACTCTAATTATCAGATGAAAGAAAACGTGAACACCAATCCACCATCAAACAACACGAGTAGGAAAGAGACAGGTTACCGTAAATCATGCTATCTTTGTTGCAGCTGCCTCTGAAACACTTTGTGCCATTCGAGAGAACTGCCGTCTCCCTTCCAGGTGTTTATTTTGAGTTCATTGTTCGACACGCGACCATTCCTAATCAATGAACTCAATACAACTGGAAGGGATACGATCGTTCTCTCGAATAGCACAAAGTGTGTCAGGGGCAGCTGCAACAAAGATAGCATGATTTACGGATACCTGTCCTCTTCCAACTCGTGTTGTTTAATGGTGGATTGGTGTATAAATTTTCTTTTATTTAATAATTAAAGTAGTAAAAAATTTTTTCTGTCATCTACACAGGCAAGAAAGTGAAGACATAAGTTCATTGTCTTAGTTCATGTGAAATACGAGGTGAAATATCTATTCATGTGGCGTGTTTTGTTGTAACAAGGACTGAATTTGTTGTTGTGAACACTGAACTGATTGTTGAGAAGGTTTGTGATTAGTATTGATAAACAATGGTGATTTATTGTGTCGCCTTTGGATGCAAGAAGAATGAACAAAACAAAAGGAAATTAGCATTCCATGGGTAAGTTGAATATTGTTCTCAAATTTTTGAAAAATATAGTTCATGATACTGTCTGTAGGTTAATCGAGGAGGTGGTACATTCATTTTACTTGGTTCTTTGGGATTTTCTCTCCTCGTTTCTATAAAATAAAAATAAAAGTATTCGTATTATTTCAATATATTTGTAGAGGGACAAATCAGATGATTTGCCCCAAAATGTCACTGCGTTTAACAAATTTTTCTATCAGGGAGTCTAAAAGAAAAATCCAGTAGCTTGTCAGTGACAATTTGTTTGAAAAAATTTTTGAAGGAAAGAAATATAGATATATTGAAAAAATATCGAATTTGTACTTATCTTTGGACGTTTCGGGACCGATTCTGCTCCCGTTCTCAACATGTAAATGCAAATTATTTTTCTTTGAAAGTTGTGCTGCGTATAGTTTGACACTTTTCAATGTCATACTGATGTTGGCATATGAATGAGTGATTTTAGTCTACCAATGAGTTACAGGATGTTTTCATTAATTGATCTTGAATCTACCATTTTCATGTTCAGTTTTCAGTAGTGAATACCATGTTCCAATATCAACTGAACAGGAAGCAATGCTATTGTCTCCGTTTAGAAGAATACAAGCGGATTCCTTTATTTTTCTTTTTTGTTTGTTATCTTCCTTTCCTATGATTTTGATATTATTCCACTGAAGATGGACAACATATGGCACAGTGGAATAATATCAAAATCATAGGAAAGGAAGATAACAAACAAAAAAGAAAAATAAAGGAATCCGCTTGTATTCTTCTAAACGGAGACAATAGCATCCTGTTCAGTTGATATTGATAGAACATGGAATTCACTACTGAAAACTGAACATGAAAATGGTAGATTCAAGATCAATTAATGAAAACATCCTGTAACTCATTGGTAGACTAAAATCACTCATTCATATGCCAACATCAGTATGACATTGAAAAGTGTCAAACTATACGCAGCACAACTTTCAAAGAAAAATAATTTGCATTTACATGTTGAGAACGGGAGCAGAATCGGTCCCGAAACGTCCAAAGATAAGTACAAATTCGATATTTTTTCAATATATCTATATTTCTTTCCTTCAAAAATTTTTTCAAACAAATTGTCACTGACAAGCTACTGGATTTTTCTTTTAGACTCCCTGATAGAAAAATTTGTTAAACGCAGTGACATTTTGGGGCAAATCATCTGATTTGTCCCTCTACAAATATATTGAAATAATACGAATACTTTTATTTTTATTTTATAGAAACGAGGAGAGAAAATCCCAAAGAACCAAGTAAAATGAATATACTTCATGAAATGATCATCAGTTAGGTTTACAATGTCCAGTCTCAGAGTATGTTCAAAAACTATACCTATTTTATTTGTCAAAGTTAAATACTTCCATATTGATATTGAGTAATATTATTTATTGCAGTTTTCCATTCAAAAGACCAGACATTCTCGAATTATGGATAAAGGCAGTTCCTAGTGAGAATTGGACTCCAACTAAAAGCAGCAAGCTTTGTGGGGAGCATTTCCTGCCAACAGATTATTCAGGCATACCAGGTACTGCTAGGTTTTTGAAAGCAGATGCTGTACCCAGTATATTTTCATTTCCTCAGCATTTGTTATAAAAAAATGCTGATTCCCCTAGGAAAATAAGAAAACTCATAGGTATCTAGTTGATTGATAATGAAAAAGAAGTATGTTTGCACTTAAAATAAAAAAACTAGCTAGTAATTTGTTTTCAGGATGCATCTGTGGACGTTCATAACTTGGGTCCAAAGGAAGAAGTTTTCCATGTTATTGACTTTGACTTGCCTACCACTTCCAGCTCCCAAGTTTCGAAGTTGATCAATAAAGAAACTCAAACTGTTTCATCAGAGAAGGATATTGTATTGAGGAGAAAAGTGAACACACTGAGACAAAAAGTAAAAAGGAGAGACCTAAACATTTCAAACATGAAAGAATAAGTAGTTCAATCAATTTCCAACAGTGGGTATAGTAATGACAATTAATGAGTGACCTAATGGAGGAATGGGAACCTATGGAAATTATGCTCAAAATGCACTCATCAATACCATTCAAGAACCTCTTTTCAAATTTTTCCTATCGTTTTTCTTTTCCTTCTGATAGTTCTGAGACATTGTGCTTCGCTCACCCTGTACAATATATTGTGAAATTTGAATAAAAATATATAATTTCAATTTTGTATTCATTTGACTTCCTGATCATGTAAGAATAATATTGAAATTTCATTTTAAAGTCAATAAAAAAATCAGTAATAATTTTTTAATGATAATTGATTACAACATTATTTTTTTTCATGAATGAATATTTTTATTTAATCACGTTTACTCTTAAATAGAAGCAAAAAACGAGAAAATATTTCAAATTATGCGACCGCTTCCCATTAGCCAACACAAGATAGAGAGAGATAGGTATCCGTAAACACTGCGGGTTGCCTGAAAAATATTTTTGCCTCACTCGTCGTTCATAGTGGGTCCCTTCCAGTTGTTTACATACATTTCATTGTTCCTAATGCACTCACCTGAAACTGGTCGTCGTAGTCCTGCTTGTCCTGCATGCGCTGATTGGCCAGCGAGCCGTGCCTGACGAGCACACCACCACCAGCGCGCCCCCTCTCGTCGATGAAGAAGATCTCGGTGAATACGATGACGCCGAACACGCCGAAGAACACGACGACGATGAAAAAGCTGAGGTTGGCGCGCTGCCGAGAACGAAACGTCGTGTACTTCTTCTTGCCGCCGCTGGACGAGCCCATCGTTGTTTATCTGGAATTAGAATCACTGTTCAGTGTTGTTGCTGTGGGTCTGAATATTCTATGCAAGATTTTATTTGAAAAAGTCACACAACAGGTTTGAAACGTCAATGTCATTCGACTAGCGCCTATAGGCAAGAGGAAAGAAATAATCATCGCGGTGGGAAAGGGACAGATATGGGTATAGACAGTGAAGTTTTTGTACCGGATTGCATCATGCATGCTATCACACGACGTTTCGGAAATATTCAGGAAATATCATCTTCAGGAACCCCCTTTATGAGAGCCGTAGCTCCCTTAGGATCCAATTTTCGACATATCTTAATTGAAACTTTTCTTCCTATTTCTGGCCGAAGAATCTCCCACTGAAGTATGGCAGGCTAATTTCGGGACACCCTGTATGTATACAGGGTGGGTCATTACTATTGGGACATAAGCTAAGGGCTCCCTCTTCGAAAATATCATCACCATCGAAACCCTGGTTCAACAAAAATTGTTCTAGAACTGTTGCCTTGAAACAAACAGCCTACCATCGCTGGCGCAAAAACCCTAACCTCGCGACTAGAGCAGAATACGTCGATGCCAGAAATAACTGCAGCCAAACAATAGATGCTTCGAAGGAAACATACAATGCCAAGATAAGATCGGAACTCATAGATTGTCCCAATGGCTCTCGTTCGTTTTGGTCCCTTGCTAAAGCGGTCGGAAGAAATTTCACTAATAGTTCATTTCCACCACTGTCCAAACCCGACGGCACATTAGCAACAACATCGCAGGAGAAAGCAGATATTTTTGCAGAGGTTTTCGCAGCAAACTCTATTTTAGATTCCCAAGGAAAAGTGCCGCCAGACATTCCACCCATTGAGAGTCGAATGCCCGAAATCGTCTTCCGTCAACGCACTATCAGACGAATTTTGCTTGATCTCAAAACGAATAAGGCTAACGGTCCTGATGGAATTCCACCCATTATCCTGACAAAATATACACCAGAATTAACACCGATTCTCTGCAAGTTGTTTACCGTCTCGTACAGGTCGGGTATTTTTCCATCATGCTGGAAGACAGCTAGAGTCCAACCAATCCCCAAAAAAGGGAACAAGAATCTGCCCAACAACTACAGGCCCATTGCCCTATTATCAGTTATCTCCAAAGTGATGGAGAAAGCCATCAATATTGAGCTTATCAAATATCTGGAGAGCTCGGGAATCATTAATGATAGACAATACGGCTTTCGCCACCGAAGATCTACTGGAGATCTACTTGCCTACGTCACCCATTTATGGCAAACTTCATTAGAAAAACACGGGGAATCTCTAGCTGTCGCGTTGGACATATCGAAAGCATTTGACCGTGTTTGGCACAAAGGACTACTCCACAAACTACCATCATACGGCTTACCACCTCAGCTATGCCATCTCTTATCGAGTTTTCTTTCAGGCAGATCGCTTCATGTGGTGGTGGACGGTGTATCGTCTGATACAATTGGCATCAATTCCGGCGTTCCACAAGGATCAATTTTGGCACCAACATTATTCCTTCTTCATATCAATGATCTGTTGGGAGTAACAACTTGCCCCATCCACAGCTTTGCAGATGATAGTACCCTCCATACTGCGTTCTCTTCCAGAATTCCCATTTCTTCCCAGGAAACTAAGAACTCACGGCGCAGGCAGGTCAATGCTGTCAATGAAGACCTTGCTGAAATCACAGCCTGGGGAACCAACAACCTAGTTGAATTCAACGCCATCAAAAGTCAAGCCTGTATTTTCTCTAGAAAGGCGGAACCCAGTATGCCCGACATTGTAATGTCTGGCACCACCATCCCCACCAAGCCCACCATATCTATGCTCGGTATTTCCATCAGCAACACTCTTTCATGGGATAATCATGAGAGATCCATCACAAAAGCTGCTTCACAAAAACTCGGATTCTTGTTCCGTGCGAAAAGCTACTTTACACCTCAACAGCTCCTCATGATCTACAAGGCGCAGATACGGCCTGTTCTAGAATACTGTTCCCACATATGGGGTTCAGCACCAAAACATACGCTGATGCTTTTAGATTCCATCCAGAGAAGAGCCATCCGCCTGGTGGGTGACGCCACACTCACTCACTCTTTGACATCATTGGAACACCGTAGAAAGGTCGGCGACCTTTTACTTTTCTATCGATACTTCCACGGGAAATGTTCTTCGGAAATCTCTGCTATCATCCCTTCACTAGCAATACCAATCAGACGAACTAGACAAGTCCAGTCAGCACATCCTTTCTTTGTCAACCTCGAAAGATGTCGAACAGCACTTTATCAAGACTCCTTCATCCATAGAACGGCTAGGCTCTGGAATTCATTGCCTGTGGAAGTATTCCCAACAACATATAATCTCCAGAAGTTCAAAAAAAATCCAATACCTACCTCCTATCCCTATCCCCCCTAGGAACGCACGATGTTCTTTGAACATTATAGGGATTCCCTTGCGTGCGCTTCAAGCTATAAAAAAAAATATGGCGATGGGACCGAATATGCATTGATAAAATATTGCTGTGGAAAAAGATATAGGGCAATATTTTTTTTCATTTATTTATCCATTTATTCACGGGATAAGCCCCATCACAGTATAAATTTTGAAAAAATAACACATTTGAATGTGCCAGACACATAAATAAGTATATGAAACGTATGCCTACCCAACAATGGCTATGTAACTAGTTTACACATAGATATATGGTATAGATGAGACTAGAAATCCTATGAAACTAACAATAACTAATTCGATGACTAATCAAATGCCACTCACTTCTACTTACAAGCTATTCAATGATTTCTTCAACATATTGTAAGACAATCCAAATATATTGATGTACGTCGTTCAAAAACTTCAGAGTTCTTTCCAAGGGTGCCTGCTTGCCATAATATGTAAAATTTCAATGGTAAGTTGAATAACAATTTATGTCTAAGATTCCTGTTTGGAACGTTGAAGTTAATTGATTCGAGTAATTCCGGACACGATATAAGTCCATTGAGGAGTTTGAATACAAAACAAAGATCTGCGTGAGTTCTTCTTGTTTCCAACGATTTGAGATTCAGTTCACGTGACATAGTCTGAATAGTCGTGGTTTTGTATATGAATACCTAATCTTCATGCACAAAATCTCAAAAATTTTATTTTGTATACCCTTTCTAAGGAAGTAGAGTGAATCTGATACATAGGAGATTTGATTATCTTCACTGTATGTTCATCAATTGTTGTCAGAATCTGCGCATAATTTTATACAGAAAATGTTATTTTATGAATAGTATACTTAAATTAGCGAAAATACTCCCTCTTTTCAAGAAAGGTGATCGCACACGAATCAGTAATTATCGCCCTATAGCAATCTTATCAGTATTTTCAGAAATATTCGAAAAACTGCTAGCTACTAGAATCTCGGCCTTTTTAGACAATCAACAAATTTTATCATCCTATCAGCATGGGTTTCGTGAGAAAAAATCGACAATAACTGCTCTTCTGCAGATTTTGAAGTACATATACAAAAATTTCGATAAACAAAACAAAGTATTGGCACTATTTGTCGATCTCACAATAGTTATTTATTATACAAGGGAAAAAAGTAGTAGATTTTAGCTCCAGGTTGTGTTGTCTTCCGACGCGTAGCGGAGGGAGACAAAAAACCGTGAGCTAAAATCTGACATTTTTCCTGTGTATAATACACTATTTTTTTTTGTGACAGAAGAAAGGACGAATCAATATTGAGAAGATATTACATTATTTCGAAATCTGAAAATTATCGACGTGAAATTTCAAGTTTTTAACAGTAGGGACACCTGCGTTTTATAGACATCTTTATCATTCTTTTGAAGTAATCAAATATCTGATGTCACTTTCTGTCAGTTCAATTCTGTGATTTGATTTTGAAAAATTGCGAATTCAGTAGTTGTCTAGTAATATACGAAACCGCGACGAAAGTCGAATGGAAGATAAAAGGACGTGCAGTTCTTTCTCGGAGACGGTATTATTGACTCATTTTTCGGAACTATAGCACAACAAAAGCCATTAACAGAGTATATATATATATATGTGATATATATCCGGGAAAAAAGTACTCACTTTTTTCCCACGGGAAAAAAGTAATTTATGAAAAGTGACATTTTATAACCTGCCAACAGAGATGAAATGCCAAACTTTTTTCCCGTCACAGAAAAAAAGCATTTGATTGTGTCGACCACGAAATTCTTTTATCTTCTATAGAAGCTTATGGTATTCGCGGTCGAAGCAATCAAGTTTTGAGATCTTATCTCAGCGAAAGGAAGCAATTTGTTGGATGTTCAGGAGAACGATCAGATGAATTGGTTGTGGATATTGGTGTTCCACAAGGTAGTACCTTGGGTCCTCTTTCATTCATCTTATATATTAATGATATTGATAGCAGCTTGAGTACTTTTTTCACTGCCTTCGCAGACGATTTAACTATTTTGTCTAGTGGTGAAACCCAATTAGAAGCCCTTGGAGTAATCAAAACTAATTTTGATAAAGTGATTCTTTACTTTCAGAATAAAAAACTGACTTTCAACCAGGAAAAAAACATTCTTCATGTAATTTTATCCTCTTGCAAACCGTTATAATGAAAGCCAACTTCTGAAATATATTGGTAAATCAATTGAACCATTGACGTCATTCAAACTTTAAGGCATTCATTCATTAATTTTTATTTTTTCTGGCGTTGAAAATGCATTTATGACAAAATAGAAAGGACATATTCGAAGCAACTTTTGATGTTGAATAATTTGGCGCTATCGATTTTCTGATCCAACGTTTTTTCTTTGAGCACCTATGAAATAATACATGCCCTGATATCTTGATGATATAAGATTCGAATAGCAGAACATGAATAATCAACATAATTTCACTGATGCAATAATGATTTTAACGTTTATTGTGTCAATGATTTAATCAACAGTGATTCGACTCACCCAAATAGAAGCAGTCAATATTTACAGTAATGCA